AGGACATCTTTCGTGCTGCGACACTTGCGGAAACCAAATTGAGAAGGGGAGAGGAGTTGATGGTGTTCCAGGAACCACATCAGACGAACGTTAACCATACGTTCAGAGAGTTTGCAGAAACACAACTTGTGAGGGCAATAGGGCGAAAGTCCTTAGGGGAAGTACCCAGAGACCCCGGTTTGCGAACAGGGAGGACAACGGCATCGAGCCAGTCCTCAGGGACTGACGACGACTCCCAGATCCGATTATACAGACTCAGTAAATACTGAGACGTGCACGGAGGGAGATGGCGAAGCATCTCATAATGAATACCATCGGAGCCCGCCGCCGTAGAACCACAGAGGGCCAGGGCAGAACGAAGTTCAGAGCGAGAGAAGGGATCATTATAGGGAAGCTGAAGACGAGTGCAGAAATCTAAAGGACGAGACTCAAGGACAGGTATACGAAGAAGGAAAGATTGGGGAAGATGAAGACCGGAGCTAACAGAAGAAAAGTGGGAACCCAGTACGGAAGCGACCTGCAACGGGTCCGTCACAAGAGTATCATGGAGGTGAAGGACCGGTGAAACATCGGGAACGAACTTACCCGCTATCTTGCGGATACGCTTCCAGACATGGGCCAGAGGATTTTCGGACGTAATTGTTGAGACATAAGATCCCCAACATTCACGTTTAGCCGAACGGATGGCCCTACGGGCCACCGCACTCGCTTTCCGAAAGAAGAGAAAAGAATCGGTTGTCTGCCTACGGCAATGCCTCTTCCAGGCTGCACGCTTACAGCGGACAGCCCGAGCACAGTCCGCATTCCACCAGGGAACGCACTTCCGTGGACCCCGAGAGGAAGAGCGAGGAATAGAGCGGAGGGCAGCGTTGAAGACAGTGTCATGAAAAAGGAGGAGAGCGCGAGAGAGAGGCAGAAGGGAGAGGTTAGAGAGAGCAGCACTGAGGGTAAATAGGGTCCAGTCCGCCTTAGCAAACTGCCACCTAGGGAAAGAGAGGGAAGGGCGAAAAGAGAAAAAGGAAACAAGGATGGGGAAATGATCACTTCCATGGAGGTCATCAAGAAGCTGCCACGTGAAATCTAAGTAAAGAGAAGAAGAGCAGAGAGAAAGATAAAGACAAGAAAGGGTGCGAGTCCGAGAGTCCAAATGAGTGGGCTCACCAGAATTCAGATGAGACAGGGAAGAAGAGAGGAGAAACGGCTCAAGAAGGCGACCCCGGGTATTCGTCAGAACGTCACCCCAAAGAGAATAACGACAATTGAAGTCACCCAGCAGGAGCACAGGCTCCGGCAAGGAGTCTAGGAGGTGTTTCAAATCAGGAAAATAAAGCGGGACACTCAGGGGGAGATAAATGGAACAAACTGTGTACCATTTCCCCACAAAGACAAGAGCAGCAGAACAATGGAGAGGCGAAGGAAAAAGTAAAGGAACAAAGGGAACATCAGCACGAATCAAGAGAGCAGAAGAATTAGAAGCCCTAGCAACGGCTGGGGGGGGGGAAGAAAGGAATAGCCACGAAAACGACCAGGACGAGCACCAAGCATCGGCTCCTGGAGACAGACACAAAGGGGCGAAAACCGCGAAATCAGAAGTTGGAGTTCGAGGAAATTGGCGTAATAACCTCGAACGTTCCATTGAAGAATGGACAACGACGAGAAGAGAAAGGACAAAAACAGAGAACAAGGAAGAAACAAAGGCGAAAGAGCAACAGAGCACGTTAAAGAATATCAGGGTCGGAATCAGGGTCAGCAAAGTCAGGGTTAGTGGGCATGGGTAAACTGAGCAAAGACAGAGGGAAGAAAACGGGAGAACAGATCAGAGGTGGGCGGGCGGGGTCCGGAGGAGGAGGAAGAGGAGGAGACAACGGAGGGAAGCAGTCAAGGACAGCAGCAGGAAGAGGGGGGTAGAAAGAGGGGAGCGCACCTCAGCAAGGGCAGCAACCGAGAGGGAAGCGGGGGCTAAAGAAACCTCCATAGCAGGAACAGGGGGCGCAACCACCGAAATGGGAGGGGAAGGAGCGAGAGAGGCAGAAGTAGGGGCCGAGGTAGAAAGCGAAACCTTCTTACCCGCCGGGGAGGAGGAAGGAGATGAGCCAGGTTTACGCTTCTGACTTAAAGAGACAGGTGTCCCAGCAACCACGTACTGGGCAACGGATTCTAGCGTCTCAACAGAAGCTGAACGAGAGCACACATGACGGCCGTTTGGAGAGCGATGGACATCAGCCCGCACCGACAGGCGGCAGGGAGAGTCAAGAGACGGAGGGGAAGGATGGGAAGGAGGAACGGAGGGAGACGAGGAAGAAGACACAGGAGACAAGACAGACCGGGTAGAAAGAAGGGGAACCCCAGACAGAGGACCAGGAGGTGGATCCTTCGGGAGAGAACCCAAAGGAACAGAGGAGGGGGCAGTGGGCGTATCAGGGTTCAAGGCCCGGAAACGGTTGTGAGTCTGAGGAAGGTGGGAAGGACGAGGAGAGGAAGAGCGCAACACGTGACCATAAGAGATATTAGCATAAGGCGGGAGCCGGCGAACCTGGCGTCTCGCCTCAGGAAAAGATAAACGCTCCCGGTGCTTCAAGTTGAGGACAGCTGCCTCAAGCTTGTAATGGACACACGCACGGGAGAAGGTAGGGTGGGCCTCACCGCAGTTGAGGCAACGAGCCTGGGGAGAAGTGCACTCCGACTTAGAGTGACCTTCGCCACAACACAAAGGACAGAGAGAGACAGTCCCGGAGCAGCGGAGGGCACCATGCCCAAACCACCAGCATTTGTTAGAGCCGAGGAGAAGGAATGTGCTCTTGGACAGAGCACCTGACACCAGCAAGAATGACAGAGGGTGGAAGGGTCCTACCATCAAAGGTAATCTTCCCATCTCGGAGGGGGTTGACGGCGACTACCACGAGGGGGACGAGTAAACGTGTCCACCTGGAGAATAGAATGACCCTGGGCAGCAAGGATATGTCGAATATCGTCGTGGCAGTCGCGCAGGTTCCGAACACCGGTTACAACATGGAGCGGGACCAGAATAGTGCCAACACTGGCATTCAACTGAGCGTTCTTCGAGACCCGAACAGGGGTCTCGCCAAGGCAGGATAAGGCAGCCAAGCAGGAAGCAGCATCCTGAGAAGGAGCAGCAATGACACGTGTACCGAGACGAGTGGGGTTGAAAGTAATGGAGGCATCCACGGAATCAACGAGATGTCGATGGAGGGAGAAATCGTCAGGAGGCGCAGAATCAAGAGGGAGGAGATCAAAATATTTGGCCCACAAAGCGGGACCAAACAAAGCTTGATAGGTAGCAGAACTGGAAGGAATCGAGCGAGGGCGGCCGTGACGAGAACGGCGGTGAGAACCCCCAGAGAGAGAGAGGGGTTAAGAGGCGCAGTAGTTACAACTAGAGATGGAGCCGCGCCAGGGGACGAGGTAGTCACCACTGGGGGCTTGGGGCTCAACCCAACCACAGAGGAGGGAGGGGAGCCAGGGGAAGGAGTCAGAGAGGCCAAAGGAGGAGCAAGGTCGGGGCCCAATGCAGCGGAGGCTACAGAGCCCGGTCTTCCAACACGGACCGACTCGCAAGGTCAAGGTAACAAGGGGGCTTGGTCGCCCACTCCATGAGCCTGAGAAGGTAAAGCAGAAACAGTCAAAACAGGGGTTATCATCATGACGAAAAGGGAAATTCATTCACGAATGTTCCCCCACACCCACCATGGAGCCACAATTAGAGGCAGGATACCCAATAAGAAGCTATCGCCGATCTTGCCGGGGCCTCCTAAGGGTGCGTCGTGAGTATACGCCCCACAAACGCCACCTTAAGAACCGACAGTCCGTCAAGATCGGGTTCAGTGACGAAAGGGGGATTGACAATAAAAGGTTGCCCCTCGCTCTCGACGTCGGGTACTACAGTTCTACGGGTGCAAGAGTATGCCTCCTCCAGCACCCGGGCGTCAAAATAGAAGAAGTCCAAGGGAAGAACCAGAACGAGCAAAAGGTCGGCAGGAAACGGCAAGCAGATAGGAGAAGAGGGGGGAGAAAAACGAAACAGAAGGAAAAGGAAAAGGTGCTCAGCATAATTGGAGAGGACGGCAGCAGGAGCACAAGGCTAGAAAAGGACAGAGGACTGTCCCAAGGAACATCACACTCCGGCAGCCGCCCACTAAGCCCCCCTCACGGCAACAACGAGCTGAGCGGGGAGGGGGGTGCTGTCAAGTAAGTGTGAGATGCGCCGTAGGGCTGTAAGTTTCCTGGCTGCCTTTTGGGCTAGGTTAACCATGTGGCTTTTGCCACTGAAGAATCGAACTTCATTCCCAAAATGTCAATATTTGTGAACTTTGAGGTTTTGACACCCATTTGCAAGTCTGTCCGATTTGCCATATGCAGTTTTGTTATCATCATCGCTTGTGTTTTCTCAGCCGCAATTTCCCTCTCTCTGAACAATTTTTTTTTTTAATTTTTTTTTTCAATTTTAGGCTCTGGAACACAGTTGGCAATGGGCTCATCCTGGAAGGGGGGTATAAATAGCCGAAGCTACTCAATCCCATTGGGATGTGTTTTGTTCTTGTCTCAATAAACATACTTGAACTTGAACTTCGCTCATCCTGTTCCTTATATGATTGTTACCTAATGTTAATTAATAAAGTTTATTCCTATTGATGTATAGAATAGGCTCATGAAATAAATGGGTCTTTAGGTTTCAATTGAGCTGAGGTAGGATTACAGCTCTTGCTTTCAGTTTCACCAGGTTCCTTTTATGCTGTTATAGTTAGTTCCAGAATTTCTTTATGTAGTGTTGTGTTCTCTCTCTTTCACTCTCTCTCTCTCTGATCTTTTACTGACTAAAGTCATAAATAATATACACTGGGAAATCACACTAACGTGATGTATATCAACGATAACATCACCTGGAGCACTGAGGTGACTCAAACTCAGCACTGAGTTCATTGTCTCATTAGAGGTAATATGGTCGGCATTAAGTATTATTGGACAGGAAAATTGATGTTTGTCTAAGGCTTGTAGGTGTTTATTCCTCGCTGCGCTGCTCCCACAGTGGCCGTCACCCCGCGCATCTTCAACACCTGGAAAGCAAAGGAAAATTCATAAATCTACATAAAGACGTAGATGAGATACCCCTCTGTCCCCGGGTCTCCCTCCCCTTCACACCTCCCGTTCCTCTCCTTTCTTCTCTTCTCATCTTTCTCCTCCCTCTCACCCTTTCTCCCTTCATTCCTAATCTCTCCTAATTCCCTCTGTCACTATGCCCTACCTACCGCAAAATTATCATTGGGCTGAATCGAGAATTAGCAGGAACAAGGTTGTTTCCCTAATGCCGGCTTTTTACCTGACACCTTTGTGTTCTCCTTGGCGTCCTACAGAGAAGTCTGACAGTCAACAGTCAACAGTCAACAGTCAACAGTCAACCACCATTGCCTATGCTGGAGTCGTGACGTCACACTCCTGTCGGTTGCAAGAACTTATGAAGGCAACTATCAGGATAAAGCGCCAGGCCACTACGACTCGACAGCCTTGTATGGGATCAGAACAAAGACCTGGCAAGGGACGGGGGGAGAGAACAATCAGAATTGGATAATCATGGGATAAGACTCACTTGAGAGGGGATGCTGTCCGTATCCGGGGGCAGAGGTGCCGGGACGGGATGCTTGGGGCAGACACCGTGGGGCCTGAGGTGGTACAGCAGGTACTCCATCTCGTACATCTTGCGAATGTCGATGTAGTGGAAGGTGACGGCCGAGTCTGAGCAACAGTTGAGGCCCTGAGGAAGAGTCGACAGGTAAGACATCTTAACACCTGCCTACTGAGCATTCTCTGCTGGATTGCTGATTTCAATTTATTTTTATTTATTTAATTCGAAATATATCAATTCTAATATCTTGAAAACTCTTTTTTTTTATGAGTCCAATTTGCGAAACACTTTGGAAAATAAATGGTCACTTCGAAAGTTATGAGAAATAATAATGTACAAGAATGTAAAGAATGTAACAACTCTTGTATATATCTCAAAAAAGAAATAAAATAATAAAATAAACAATTATGAAAATATAATTAACTTCTGGAAGTTCAAGCAATTGTTGTTGTGACAGCAAATGACCCGCATGATGACAGGCCGTACCGTGTTGAGGTTGTAGCAGACGTACCGTGTTGGGGTTGTTGTAGATGTACCGTGTTGAGGTTGTAGCAGACGTACCGTGTTGGGGTTGTTGTAGATGTACCGTGTTGAGGTTGTAGCAGACGTACCGTGTTGGGGTTGTTGTAGATGTACCGTGTTGGGGGTTGTTGTAGATGTACCGTGTTGGGGGTTGTTGTAGATGTACCGTGTTGAAGTTGTAGCAGACGTACCGTGTTGGGGTTGTCGTAGATGTACCGTGTTGGGGTTGTAGTAGATGTACCGTGTTGGGGTTGTTGTAGATGTACCGTGTTGGGGTTGTAGTAGATGTACCGTGTTGGGGTTGTCGTAGATGTACCGTGTTGGGGTTGTAGTAGATGTACCGTGATGGGGGTTGTAGTAGATGTACCGTGTTGGGGGTTGTAGTAGATGTACCGTGTTGGGGTTGTAGTAGATGTACCGTGTTGGGGTTGTAGTAGACGTACCGTGTTGGGGGTTGTAGCGTACCGTATTAGGGTTGTAGTAGACGTAATTGATGTATGAGAAATGTAGCTCGTTGAACAAGTGACTGGTGAGGGTGCCTGCGAAGAAACGACCTCGACCCTCACCATCCCGGGATTCTCCGGCCAAAACTCCGATATTGTTCAAGCATATTCCTGCAGTGAATAACTATAGCAATGAACAGATACTCCCCTAAAGCCTGTTATTATCACTAAAACACCACAACATACCTTTCTAGGATCATTCTTCTACTTTACTGCAATGTCTTTAATATTGTGTCTTTACCCCTAGACTGCAACTTACATAATTTTACTGATCCCAATTGGTGAGCTCATAAGCGGCTTTCGTTAATATATTGTTGCTCTTAATAAAATTTGAATTAATAACTGAAATAAACTAATACAATTTTTAAGCTAACAAGATATTATCACCGATTTATCTTGGGATTTACTGACCTATCTCAGCATCCACTGAGACATCTATAAGCATTCACTGAGACATCTATAAGCATCCACTGAGACATCTATAAGCATCCACTGAGACATCTATAAGCATTCACTGACCCATTTCGAGATCCTCGATTCCCGTGATTGATGGATTGCACAGCGTCTTGTTAGGCAAGGACACCTCGACAAACTGTTTCACAGCTTCTCTGCTCAGCACATATCCGCCACCTGTAACCACAGGCACAGAGAAAGTGAAATGCACAGAAAGGTGCAGAAGGAAATGACAGAGTAAGAGAAAACGGATACAGAGATCGAAGAGCAGAGAAAGAAGATTTAATGAGATATATTTACAGAGAAAGAAGGGTAAGATATGAGATAAGGAGCTATTAGAATTAGATCTACTTTATACAGATGAAACCTTTGATGATGTGGATTATAATGAAACCATTGATGATGTGGCTTACAATGATGGGACTTACATTGAAACCCTTGATAATATGGCTTACAATGCTGTGACTTACAATGAAACCCTTGATGATGTGGCTTACAATGAAACCCTTGATAATGTGGCTTACAATGAAACCCTTGATAATGTGGCTTACAATGAAACCCTTGATGGTGTGGCTTACAATGAAACCCTTGATGATGTGCTTTATAATGAAACCCCTTGATGTGCATTAAAATAAAATCCTTGATGATGAGGAGATTTACAATGAAGAATAAAGCTCCAAAGAAAATATTTCTTTCACAAAGCAAATTAAATACTACGAAGAATACAGCTGTAACCTAAGAGAGACTGTAACTTATGGTTATATTAAGTGAATAATTGTTATTTACTACAAACATCCAAAATGATATAAAGAAAATTTCTGAATTAATATTTTGCATCACAACATCAGGAAAAAAAAATATAGTTTTCTTACCCAGAAAAATTTTAATTCGAATCAATTGTTAATTCTTTAATTTTCACCTCCATGTTCTTTAATCTATATACAGCTTCTAACTCACCTATATTCTTTGATCCATATACAACTTCTCACCCATCTATATTCTCTCAATCCACTTAATGTCTTGCACGAGCCTTCAAGCCCACTTACCTCCACTCATGTAACCCTTTTTGGTGAAGAGTCGGAATCTTGAGCCGAAGTAGATGGGGAAGTTGGGATCATATATGGAGAGCATATAGCGCATATTCTCCATAATGGTATACCTGAGGGGTAGACGAATGTGGTTGATGTTTGTGACTGGTGGTTGATTAGTGTGTCTCGTGGTTGACATCTGTGAATGGTGGTTTATGACTGTGACTTGTAATAGCAGATAAGTTAACAACAGACTTGGAGTGATGAAGTTTACAAAAACCAACATTGATCACCCCTGTCATTACATAAATTATAACATACAAAGATGCAGCAAAACAATGGAATTTAACCATTGGTTCAAGATGATTAACAGTGAGGGAAATGTTGACTGATGACTAGTTATATATATATATATATATATATATATATATATATATATATATATATATATATATATATATATATATATATTGGTGGATTAATATTTTCGAAATAACTTCTTGCTTCAGGAGACCTTCAAGGTTACTTACGTGTCGGCATCCGCCTTGAAGAACCAATCGTAGTCATTCAAGTGGTTCTTATAGACGTAGGTGAAGGCAGCCTTGGTCTTGGCCCACAGCTCACTCCTCCCCTCAGGAACACCCAAGTCGATGGCTCCAAGCTTCGAGTCTGAAGAAAGAATCTTCCAGTGGCTGAAGATATAATAACCAAACCACACATCAGAAAATGAAGAAGCGACGACTTTTCGTTCCGCCCCGGACCCTAATCAAGTCGGGTAACAGAAGAGAGGAAGGTACGGGCAAATACTACCAAATCTATTACTAGACTCCATACTGGTCCAGGACGGAACGTCGTCGTTTCTTCCTTTCCTGATGCGTGGTTTGGTCATTATATCTTCAGCCACGTTATTGTGACTCAATTATATGTCGTGATTCAAGATATTGTGACTCAACTTTCTATCGTTTGTATATCACCAACATATTCATTTCTTGCTACAAGTTGTAAAAATAGAGTTGTGGGTGACGAGAACCTAGTGGGCATAACCATGAGTAAACCATATAGTAGATAAAGAAAACTTTAGGGCACCACTGAAAGAAATACGAAAAGCGAATAATAATAATAACATCAGAGACGTCATTACAAGAGCAGCTGCTCATATGAGGAAGAGATTTATGTCTTCAGGTAACTGGTCAGTGGCTTTATGTTGGTCTGAAAAAAGACACAATTTATGTTTACAAGACCATAGACTGACCAGTTTAACGTCTGTTACAGGTGTTTGTGGCTGGTCACAGCCAGTCTAACTTCTGTTATAGGTGTTTATGGCTGGTCACAGCCAGTCTAACTTCTGTTATAGGTGTTTATGGCTGGTCACAGCCAGTCTAACTTCTGTTATAGGTGTTTATGGCTGGTCACAGCCAGTCTAACTTCTGCTACAGGTTTTTATGGCTGGTTACAGCTAGTCTAACTTCTGCTACAGGTGTTTATGGCTGGTCACAGCCAGTCTTACTCCTGTTACAGCTGCTCGTAGCTGGTCAGACCAAACAGGAGGTGTTATAACTGTTATAATTGTATATTATATAATGTTATAATTGTTAAGTGCTACCAGAGAGCACTTATATTGGCAAAGTTCACTATTCATTATGATGAGTGTGGTCACTTTTTGAGTAAAGATACTGACGATTTTGATGAACTCCAGTGACGATTTTTATTGAACCCGGTGACCATTTTGATACAATCCTTTAATTATTTAGACACTTTGATAGAAATGCGTGACCATTTTCATGGAATCAAGTGTTGTTTTTAGAAGATCCAAAGACCACTCAGAAGACGCAAACTAACAATTCCTGAAAGAATCAGTGGAGAACCTCAGTGAAGAGTACCACTGACCACAGTAAGGAAACTGACTTTCTTTGACTAGGTCACTATTTTAATTAGGTCAATATTCTCTGCAAACTATGATCTCAGACGTCATAAAAGACATCTGATGATTTGCAGAAGAATTACCAAAGTTTATATTGAGAACCCTTAATCACTCTAAAAAAATTCTTTGGATGTTTTCAGAAATACCGGAGAAAATTGTCATACGGAATATTGACATTTCTGTTGAAAGATTTCGAATCACTTTGAAATGGGCGACTTATAATCAATCTGAGAAGAACCACTGACCATTCTGAGATGTACAACTAACCATTCTTGGTGCTCATGAAGATAAGCTTGTCGCAACGGGAGCCCCAGGTGGCCTTTACGTGGACTGACTTGGTGTAGTGAGTCGCTGGGTGTGTCAACACCCAACACAACACCCGCACCTTCTGCGTCTCGGGCACCTTCTGCTGCGCCTCCTCTGTGTACACACACACACACACACACACACACACACACACACACACACACACACACACACACACACACACACACACACACACACACACACACACACACAGAAATATAATATTAACATATTGTTAAATTTTATAAATAATTGTAGACTTAGAACTAGTACACTGTAACATACACAAGTCCTTAGATAAATATACTTTCATTAACGAAAGGTATTCTATATGTATAAATGTATTTAGAGAACTATATGTGTATCTAGCCTTCTACCGACTTTAGATTTCTTTAGACTAAAGGTAAATTTCCGTTCATCTACGTAAGTAATTATATCAATACGTTTCTCAGTTCAATCTTGCTGTTGACTGACCAATCTTGCTCAATCCACTGGTGCTTTGTGGAAACACATGGCGTCGACTTCTCATATTAAGTGTTAATATACATAAAGGCACTTACATATATTTTAACACATGTTTGAAGTGTGTGTGTGTGTGTGTGGCTGTTTGTTAAGGGTTTTAGCCGAAGTTGTGAGCATTAAAGAAGGATTGTGATCAATGTTTTATCTGGGTTGTGTCAGAGGTTGTGAGTGATGTCTTTACCTGGGATGAAGCTGTGGTTGTGTAGTTTCGTGGGTAACGCCGCGATGTCTTCTGGGATAAACGGGCTTCTGAGTCTGGGAGTTCAATGGGCAACATTTATTAGGAGGAAATTGAAAGGGAAAACAAGAGAAGTAGCAGGAGAAGAACAGTAAAAGTAGAAAAAGCAGAAAGACGAGGATGAGAAAGAGGCAGAAGAAAAACAAAAGATAGAGGAATGGGGGATGAAAGAGAAGTATAAGAGTAATTAATAAATGTAAAGAACAGACTGTCGATAAACATATCACTGAAAAACTCATGAAGACATAATCTGATGAAACATCAAAATATTTGAAGAAATAAGGTTAATAAACAAATATAGAGCAAGAATAACAAATCAAGAAAATTTAAGGACATTTTTTTTACAGTGGCACTAAAATAATCAATTACTTAAATAATATTTTGCATATTTTTTTAATAAAAATTACATTGATGCAAATTGAAAAAATCAGGCGATCTTTCTACTCACAAGTTTCTCAATTGGTGCAAGCAGCTACACATAACAAAATATAAGACATCGTTAAAGATGTTCTAAACAGCTCGAAATGTCTGCTAGGGTCTGTACCTGGATAAGCTGAAGTATTCAGGTCTGAAACTTATTGAAGACAGAAGACCTCCTGCTATTGCAGAGACAGTCATGAGTATAGCCGTCGTGAGTGGTGACTCTGAGGAAATGGAACGTTGTCATGTGAGTCATTCAGAGTGGGTGAAGGAAAGAATGGGTACATGGGGGAAATCGGATTGAGATGAGATTATGCGCAAACCAGAGAGAACAGAATAAATGGGTAACAGAGAAACGAGCATAAAGGCATATTAGTGAAAGAAAGAATGAGAGGAATGCACGAGAATGACAGATACCATGTAACCTATTGGTCCACGACGCGGTATTCAGATAGGGAGGGAGAAAGACCTACTCCAGCCTGGTCTAAAACTCAGGATAGAAGCGCAGAAGGTTCGCGCCACACTGTGTGCTCACTCCACCAATGAAGTTTGATAGGAGAGCGGGAATAATGGCTCTGTCCTACTGTTATTGTCCTACTTGACTATAACAATAGAGTCATAGGAATAATGATTCTGTCCTACTTGCAGGACACTACAACACTACTACAGCTACTGTATGATACTACAACATTTATTACTGCAGCTACTACAAGATACTACAACAACAACTATTAAAGCTACTACAACAACCTCTACTACAGGACACTACAACAACCTTTACTAACGCTACTACAGGATACAACATCCTCTACTACAGGACACTACAACAACAACTACTACAGCTACTACAGGACACTACAACAACAACTACTACAGCTACTACAGGACACTACAACAACCTCTACTACAGGACACTACAACAACAACTACTACAGCTACTACAGGACACTACAACAACAACTACTACAGCTACTACAGGACACTACAACAACCTCTACTACAGGACACTACAACAACAACTACTACAGCTACTACAGGACACTACAACAACCTCTTCTACAGGACACTACAACAACCTCTACTACAGGACACTACAACAACAACTACTACAGCTACTACAGGACACTACAACAACCTCTACTACAGGACACTACAACAACAACTACTACAGCTACTACACTACAACAACCTCTTCTACAGGACACTACAACAACCTCTACTACAGGACACTACAACAACAACTACTACAGCTACTACAGGACACTACAACAACAACTACTACAGCTACTACAGGACACTACAACAACCTCTACTACAGGACACTACAACAACAACTACTACAGCTACTACAGGACACTACAACAACCTCTACTACAGGACACTACAACAACAACTACTACAGCTACTACAGGACACTACAACAACCTCTACTACAGGACACTACAACAACAACTACTACAGCTACTACAGGACACTACAACAACCTCTACTACAGGACACTACAACAACCTCTACTACAGGACACTACAACAACAACTACTACAGGACACTACAACAACCTCTACTACAGGACACTACAACAACCTCTACTACAGGACACTACAACAACAACTACTACAGCTACTACAGGACACTACAACAACCTCTACTACAGGACACTACAACAACAACTACTACAGCTACTACAGGACACTACAACAACCTCTACTACAGGACACTACAACCTCTACAAACATGTAACAGAGTATCAACATTACAAGAGTCTCTACAACAAACAAACGGCGAATAAATCAGCGTTACTTGCTCTAATTATTAAAAAACAATTTAATTTACACTAAAAACTTAACATTAAATAATTATTATTATTATTATTATTATTATAATTATTAATTTACATTAAATATTTACATGAAAGCCTCTATTGTTTTAGCCTTTGACGTCAAAGATCAATTTATATAAATTTTCTACGCTTCATAAAGAAAGTAGTTTCTTAAGAACGACTTTATTCTTCGCTAAACAATATCACGGCATCTAAACCAGTTGTTTTTTTTTATTTTCGAACATTTAAAAATTATGAAATACATAAGCGCGCGCGCGAGCACACACACACACTCACACACACACACACACACACACACACACACACACACACACACACACACACACACACACACACACACACACACACACACACACACACACACACACACACACACACACACACACACACACACACACACACACACACACACACACACACACACACACACACACACGTCTTTGTCTTTGTCCTAGTCTTTGACTACATGATGGAGCTTAAAATTGTGACCAAAGGACAAGAGGTCCGGGAAAGGAGACTTGATTACAGAAAAGGGGACTACAGAAGGATAAGGGACTACCTGGGAGAAGTGCAGTGGGAGGAAGAACTTAGAGGAAAAACAGTGCAAGGTATGATGAACCAAGTCATATTGAAATGCAAGGAGGCTGAAGATAGATTTATTCCAACAATAAAGGAAAAAAGCAGGAGGGAATATAATAACCCATGGTTTAATAGACAGTGTCAGGAAGCAAAGGTGAGAAGCAGGCGGGAGTGGAGGAAGTACAGAAGACAAAGGACAGAGGACAACAGGATTAGATGTAACAGAGCTAGGAATGATTACATTAACATAAGACGAGTGTCGGAAAGAAATTATGAGAACGATATTGCAGTCAAAGCGAAAAAGCAACCAAAATTACTACATAGCCATATAAGAAGGAAGATGTCGGTAAATGACCAAGTGACAAGACTGAGGAAAACAGAAGGGGCATATACAGAAAGCGACAAGGAAATCTGCGAGGTACTGAATGCAAAATTCCATGGAGTGTTCACAACCGAGCCTGAGCAGCTCCCATTGTTAGAAGAGATTACCCAAGATGAAAGACTATCAGATATAGAGGTGACAGCAGAGGATGTAATGAAACAGTTGACAACACTGGATGCAAATAAAGCTGTTGGACCAGACAAAGTATCACCGTGGATACTTAAAGAGGCAGCGCAGGCTCTCAGCGTGCCTCTGGCAATGATCTTTAATGAGTCACTTATGTCGGGAGAATTGCCCAGTTGCTGGAAGGAGGCAAATGTCGTACCGATTTTCAAAAAGGGTGATAGGGAGGAGGCACTTAACTACAGACCCGTATCACTGACAAGCATCCCCTGCAAAATACTTGAAAGAATAATTAGGCTAAGACTTGTTGAGCACCTGGAGAGCATTGGGTTTGTAAACAAGCACCAACATGGGTTCTGGACAGGGAAATCATGCCTAACAAACCTTTTAGAATTCTATGATAAAGTAACAAGGATAAGGCAGGACAGAGAAGGCTGGGCAGACTGCATATTTCTTGACTGCCAAAAGGCCTTTGATACGGTACCGCACATGAGACTGCTATACAAACTTGAGAGGCAGGCAGGAGTAAGCGGAAAGGCCCTAGTATGGGTGAGGAACTACCTAACAGGAAGGAGCCAGAGGGTAATGGTAAGGGGCGAAAAGTCGGACTGGCGAACAGTAACAAGTGGAGTACCTCAAGGATCGGTGCTGGGACCAATCCTCTTTCTAATTTACGTAAATGATATGTTTAAAGGAGTGGAATCATACATGTCAATGTTTGCAGATGACGCAAAATTAATGAGAAGAGTTGTGACAGACGAGGATTGTAGGATCCTCCAAGAGGACTTAAACAGGCTGCAGAGATGGTCAGGGAAATGGCTACTGGAGTTTAACACCAGTAAATGTAAAGTTATGGAAATGGGATCAGGTGACAGGAGACCAAAGGGACAGTACACAATGAAGGGGAACAGCCTACCTGTAACGATTCGAGAAAGAGACCTGGGAGTGGATGTGACACCTAATCTAACTCCTGAGGCACATATAAATAGGATAACGACAGCAGCGTACTCTACACTGGCGAAAATTAGAACTTCATTCAGAAACCTAAATGAGGAAGCTTTTAGGGCGCTTTACACTGCCTATGTGAGACCCGTCTTAGAGTATGACGCGCCATCATGGAGCCCCCACCTAAAGAAACACATAAAGAAACTGGAGAAGGTTCAGAGGTTTGCGACGAGGCTTGTCCCAGAGCTACGAGGGATGGGATATGAAGAGCGGCTGAAGGAACTGAACCTTACGACACTAGAGAAAAGAAGGGAGAGAGGAGATATGATAGGGACATATAAAATACTCAGGGGAATTGACAAAGTGGAAATAGATGAAATGTTCACACGTAATAATAACAGAACGAGGGGACATGGGTGGAAACTGGAAACTCAGATGAGTCACAGAGATGTTAGGAAGTTTTCTTTTAGCGTGAGAGTAGTAGAAAAATGGAATGCACTTGGGGAACAGGTTGTGGAAGCAAATACTATTCATACTTTTAAAACTAGGTATGATAGGGAAATGGGACAGGAGTCATTGCTGTAAACAACCGATAGCTAGAAAGGCGGGATCCAAGAGTCAATGCTCGATCCTGCAAGCAAATATATAGGTGAGTACATATAGGTGAGTACACACACACACACACACACACACACACACACACACACACACACGCACGCACGCACGCACACACACACGCACGCGCACGCA